ACATGCGCCCACCAACCCCGCCGAGCCCCAGCTGCCGGACACTCCGCCCGGCCCTGGGAGCCCGACCATTGGAGTCACTGCTGCTACTGCTTCTCTCCAAAAGAAAACACAGAACCAACAAAAAATGCATTCAACGCAACTTCCTCAGCTACCTGACGATCTCACGCGACAACCTCTTCAAGCATCCTCAGACCCTCCCCCGGCTTTAGACCACGGAGGGACCGGCTGGAGCTCCGCCAGCTCGTCCACTGCCCTTCTCTCCCGCTCCCTCCCGCTCCCTCTCTCTACCTCTCCTTCTCCCTCTCCCCCTCCTTTTTTTTTTCCTGTCCTTATGACTTTCACACACTTTCTCTTTAATGAAAAAAAAAACTAGTTGTTTGGTGGCTTATATTTTCAGTGAAGAATTTTGGGGGATTTTTATGGCAAAAGAGCCACTCAGAAATGGACTAAGAAAACTGTGGGGGTTCCCCCTTCCTAATTAAAAAGGGGAAAAGAAAACTGTTATTTTATAGCCGGAGATCTGAGCCTCTGCGTCACCGAAACCACCCCAAGGGTATGTGGCTGACTCGGTGGAGACGGTGAGAAAGGCTTCAGTTTCTGACCCAAGAAGCTTTTTTGGTTTCAGATTTTTTTTTCCTTTAATGTCAAACTCTTTGGCTTTAAGTAGAGATCCCAAAAGTTTTTTAAAGAAGTAAAGGAAGCATACCTGTAAACTACCTTGCCAGCTAGCCAGCCAAGGATGCCGCACACACCTCTGCTCCAAAGGAAATCCAAAAAGCAAACACGAGAAGTCAAAATCCAAAATTTGTCACTGCCAAAGTATTTTTTCACTGTTTTACTCCACTCTTGGGTTTGTACAGATGTTGGTCTTTTCTTTTTATTCTGTTTTTAGAGTTTGGGATATTGGGGTTTGGAGGGTTTTGCCCAACAAGAAGCGACTTTTGTTTCTTTTTGACTAGACGGCAACGCCTTTGCTGGGCACAGGGCGGTGGGTCTGGAGCCCTCAGCACCCCACCCGCCGTGCGTGTGTCTGCGTGTGCACACGGGGCATGCCTAGCCATGCACTACACGTGTGCAGGGGAAGATGCCTCCATCTGTCCTCACGCCCTCTGTGAATTTTCATCACATTTCATTTCTTCCACTTGTGAAAAAAAGTGCTAACGTGTCCTTCCCAGAGAGAGCATAATTCTGAAACAAAACTGTGACAATCTTTCGGGTTGATTCTTGGGTGCTTTTCAAAGCACGAGGAGACAGCAACTGCGCCAATAACGACTGCTTCTCCGTTTTTCCTCCTCTACCTCTTCTCCCCTCCTCAGTGCTGCCCCACCCAACTCGTCTTTGCCCCATCGCCACCCTCCACCAGTGTCCCCTGAACCTGTTCTTCTTTCTTCACATTTTTACAGAAAAAAAAAAAAAGAAGGGAAAAAAAAAAAAAAAACCCTCCAAACAAGAACAGTCTGCCCTCCACGCCTTCTGGAGACTTAGTCGGTTGTGTATAACCTCACGTTTCTGTCCAGCTGATCATCAGTGGGGATGTCCCCTCACTCTAGCTCTGTCCTCCCTTCCCCACTCAACTCCCCCAAGCGATCTCAAGGAGGAAATAAAGGAGTAAGGAATTCTCACCTGTACTCAGTGGAGAACAAACAGCAGCATGGTCCATGATCTGGCATTTTCTTGCATCGCTGTGAGAAGTTCCCAGGACTGGAGTGCAATACAGAGAGTGACCAGCTACTGAAACCGGGGTTCCTGGGGGGCCCCACCAGGAGGCAAGAAGTCAATAGTGTACGTTAATGTGAATGTATATAGTCCTTGCAGAGGTCCAAATAATGATATTCATGATGATAATAAAGAAGAGATGTTTGCCAAATAAAAAAAAAATTAAGAGAAACTGCAGAAGTATGTCAAGTGTAGGAAATCGATTTTCAAAGAAATCTGAACTGTGGTTCTACGGGGAGCAGTGGGTTGGTTTGATTATTGTTATCTCTTTTTCAGAGTTGTAAGAATTCATTCTTTGAGTATTGAAAAGATGGATTTCATCTGGTTGCCACAGACCAGGTGCCACCCCGAACAACACCTGACAGTGAAAACCTAATTCTGAAATAGACCTAATTCCAAGATAGATCTCTTTATCCTCCAGAAAGTTCCCCATCCCAGCCACCATCTCCGAGGCCTGGTGAGTGGGTCTGTCACACTCTCAGAGGTTTGCTTTCGTGGATGTCAGGAAAGCAAGGACCAGTTTGGGATTGGGGCTCTCACGACAGCGAAGGCTGCTGTGTGTTCCCAGCCTGCTGTCCTTCTCTCTCCTAAGTGTCGCATCTATTAAAACGGCAGCTGCGGATGTGCAGTGACATGGGTTTGCTTCCCCTTGGAGGTGGGCGCTTTGGACTCTGTTCCCACAAGGTTTGCTGCTAAACGGGGTGTCTGGAGAGTGTCTGCCCTGGGCACACTGGGGGTCTGGTGGAAGAGGGCGAAGGCCCCTAATCACTCACATCCCTGCCGTCTGGACTTGGGGGTGAGGCTGATGGTCTGATGGAGAAGCCCCTCACCTGGAGACCCGCAGGTTTGCCTTGAAGGCCTCTGTTTCCCTTCCCCTTGCATGGTCCCCCTTTGGGGACAAGCAGGTTTGCCAGGGACACTGGCATGTTGGTCAGCTGGCAACGTCCAGGTCAGACCAACCTCCAGGTCTGAACCACAGGCTGAGGGCCTGAGGTGGGACAGCCCCTCCCACCCCAGCAATCAGGAGGAGGGTGCGCTCAGGCCATCTACAAAAGGTTTCCTGATGTGGTTCTCACATCCAGATCTCATATTCCAAGAAGCCACCACTGGCGAGGCTGCAGAAACCTAGCATGAGCGGCTGGCCATAGGCCCAGGGCAGAGCCCCTGCGGGCCTAGAGCATCCTCAGGATCAGGGGATGGCAGCAAGGTGGGGTGGGGGTTGCCGTGAGGAAGCCAGGCCCAGAGTGGGCCGGAGGGTGCTGAGCTGGCAACGGCTGTGTCAGCCCAGTAGGCAGCTCCTCCCACTCCTGCCCAGGGAGTTGTGAGGAAGGTGCTGGCGCTCCCTTCCATGCTCAGAGAGCTGGTGTTTCTGTCTATCGCTGTGCTTAGGCCCCGTGTGGCCAAAGACCTCACAACCAAATATGGCATCAATAGCTTGGGGTGGTGGGGGTCAGAGATTTTGCATTAGGACTTGGACTAGAGGCACTAAACATGAGTGTCCATGCAGCACCTGTGTCTGCACCTGGAGCACTGCCTTTCTTGTGCAATGAGGGGATCTAGCCTCCTGCTGTCTGCTCAGGGGCTGTTCTGCCCTGGTACCTCCTGAGCTTTGACCAGGGGTGTGGCTGCCAGGGTCTCCTCTCCGCAGGCCACCACCACTCAGGTGACCCAAAACTCGGTGAGGTGCAGCTCTCGAAGAGCCTCCTTCCCTCCAAACCAAAATGGCAGCTTTACCTCCTGAGGCCAAAACTATGACAGGAAGACGGCAGCCAGAGCCCACAGCCCACAGGCGAGGGACAGCAGGATGTGTGCCCACACCAGGCCCCTCTCCTTCACCCCCGTGTGGAAAGTACCCTGGTGTGTGACCCTCAACATTTCCATCCCCTCCTCTCATCTCCTATTTTCCATCCTGTCCTGGACCCAGGCTGGTCTTTCTCTTAGGATGTGTCACCATCCCAGGTGGTGTCTGGGGGGTATTCTGTTGGCAAAGACCAGTGCTTCCCATTACATGCATGGACAGGCTGGCATACCCCAGAGCTCATCTGAATAGGGAGGGCTCCATCCCCAGGCTCACCAGGACACAGGGGAGCCAGGACCAGGGGCAAAGAGAAAAGCTGGAGCCTCAGGGGCCCAGGAGGGTTAGAGCTGTGGGACAAGAGAAGCAGCCTCCCAGGAGGGGGCTCTCCTGTGGGCTTGGCAAATGGGGTCACTCATCAAGGCCCCAAGAGGTTCAATGGAAGAGGGAGATGGACAGGAAAGGGGCAGGAAGGTGTTGGTTTTGGTTTTATCCCAGCGACATGGTGGAGAGGGATCGGCTCAGGCCCTAACTTTCTCCTGTTTGCCAGTTTTTCCAAATATATCCTCAAAATGACACCAAAGCCTTGTCTCTGTCGTCTACCCATCTTGCCTATCCCAGCCCACTCTAGCTCTCATGTCCAGCCATCATTCTGCCCATCCCCTCAGCCCATCTACAGTTATTTATTGATTCTCTCTTTTCATCAATTCATCCTTTTGTCCAGACCAGTCATGTGTCTGGCTATCCATTCACCCATCCACCCACTGACTCACCCATCTATTCATATGACCACCCATCCATCTATCCGCCCATCTATCCATTCATCCATCCATTCATCCATCCATCTACTCACCCATCCATCTATCCATCCATTACTATATCCCAACCATCACTTGATTCCATCCTTCCCCATTCATCCTTTTACCCATCCGCTTGTCTCTCCACCATTCATCCCTATGCATGTTTCTATCCACCCCTCCTCCAATCTAACCCATACAACCATATCTCAATCCATCCACCTCTGCAGCCACTGAACCCATTAGTAGCACCACCAACCCCCTTCATGTTCCAAAGCTCGAGGGTGCTTTGGATCCTCCTCCCATGACCTGAGCTTTCTCACATCTGTGGGGAGGTCCAGACCTGCTCCAGAGACAAATAAGGTTCTGTGACAGGCATTATGGGCAGACTGGACCGATGTCCTAGCAACAGCTCTGGCCAGTCTGGGCCTACCTGGAAATTGTGGTGGCCATGGGCCAGGAGTGTGAGTTGGGAAGTGGCCCATATACCTGCTCAGGGACCCTGTGACCAGAGCCACCAGTCAGGGTGAGCACATTACCTGGCAAAACCCTGGCATTGTAGCCTGGGCTACACCCTGGCATTGTAGCC